AAAAAAAAAAAAAAAAAAAAAAAAAAAGAGAAGGCTCTACCAATGCAAGTTTATATTTGTGAAATTAATGTAAAGTACTTCAAATCTAAATGGAAAATACTATGTGGATATACATTTACAAAATCAGGGCCAGGGATTTAGCTCAGTGGTTCTAGTGCCTGCTTCGCAAGCACAAAGACCCAAGTTTGATCCCAGGTACCAAAAAAAAGAAATCAGTGATGTTTGTACTTCTTTCAACAATAAACACAATGCCTCTGCTGTCAGCCTGTGTAACTCTTCAGGGACACCCCAGTTTAGTGGGAGCTACTGGCTGGCTGCCCCTGTACAGGAGGTCCGAAATGCCTTTCAGTGTAATAGGAAGGACAGAAGCTTGTGTTGTAGGGTGAAAAAGAAGTGACGCCTTTAGGATTGTAAATGTAATGTGCTGCTCTTTAAAAGGAAAATGAGAGTTCAGCAGTGCACACAGAGTGAATTCTGTTAAAGCCAAAATCAGTGATACTTAAGATAATGCTTTTCTCCCCTTAAAGTTTGCACTGTTTTGACTGAATACTATTAGATTTTGCTATCTCCCCCCCCCGTCCAGTCATTTGGATTAAATCTCAGGTGGAAACTGAGAAATCATTCCTCAACCCAGAGGCTCAGTGCTGCCTTGTGTTGTTTCAGGCTTGGAGGTTTTAAAGCAGGAGACATCGGTTGTTGAAAATGTCCCCATTTTAGGACTTTATCAGATTCCAGCTGAGGGTGGAGGCCGGATTGTGCTGTATGGAGACTCCAATTGCTTGGATGACAGTCACCGACAGAAAGGTACGAGAAAAGAAAATGGGATTTAGTGACTTGGGCACAGACCCCTTCTTCCCCTTTGTGCCTGGAAAAGCAGTGACAAAATGCTGGTGAGTAAATAGGCACTGCTCATGTGAGCCAGGGACAGCTCGGGAAGTTCCAGTGGCTTTGATGCTTGGAATATCTTGATAGCGTTTAATAAGCAAAACAAGCCTGCCTTTGCAAGCTGCAGTGCCTTCCTCCTTCATCTTCTAGTCCCATAGCCAGTGGGCCAGTGTCACCACACTGAGTGACCCAGGTTCTACCCTTCCTGGACCCCCTCACCCCACCGGATATGTGCACCTCAGGGACGCAGTGACATGTGGGCATGCGTGTACCCTGTTCTGCTCTGACCTGGTCTTCAGGCCATCCTGCCTGCAGGCCTCTCCCCTAGCTGTCCCCAAGACCTGCAAGCCTGGGCCGCTGAGAGCCTTTCTCAGTGAGGCTCTTCTGTTACACTTTCAGGGGTGAAGGAGAGGTGAAGGGCACTGAACTCTAGAGCTCTTCTGGTTTTCAGCCTCTTCTGATGAAACTTCCCATTGTGGGGGGTTGGGGCTTAGACACAGACTGTTGATTTTTCTGATTTTTGTGAAGGAGGAAACAGTCGTGAAAGTGTCATACGTATTTATCTGGTGAGATGGTGAGAAAACTGGAAGAGAAACCTGACTGAGGGACTGCTGGAGAGGGAGGTGGGGCGGTAGCGGGTGAGGGCCCAGTTTGGGACAGCGAGCAGCTCTGGGAAGCAGGCATCAGGTGGGTGAGGAGAGCTGAGTGTTGTGTCTCTCTCTGACTTTACGATCCGGTTGACTAAACTCCAGGCATTTGCTTAAATCCTGAGAATATGATTGGTCTTTTTAAAATCAAAAATGAGGTTTAAAGTCACAGTTAAAAGAAGATTAATGATTTATTTCCACAGAGATTATCTTTTAAGATTTGCGATCTCCTGGTAAGAGTCTTATTAAAATTTTAAATACCTGAGAGGTTGCCCTCATCTTTAAATTTCAAACAGGAGCTTTTAGGATCTTTCAGGGCCTTTCTGTGCTTGACCAGAGGGCTCTTTGGAGACAGAAACGCACTTTGCAGCATTTTCCTCTCCTGGTGCTCACATCATCATAGGTAGTGGTGATGGGCCGGGCAGGCAGGCTGAGGAGAGCAGTGTGCAGGTAAAGTTCCAGCTTGATGCAGCAAGGGGCATCGGTGGCTCACAGTGAGATTTGTGGACAGTCTGGAGCCTCAGCTGCAAGATAACCCCAGAGAAGAATCAGCCACTCTGGCCAGGACCCCCTGACTCAAAGGCCATCCCAGATTCATGACTGCTGTGTGCCTACCTGGAGCCCATGTCCCCATGGTACGTCCTCTCAGTGAGAGTCCACTTCCTGCCCTTGGGAGCACCTCTGGGATGACGGTGGAATCTGAGAAGCCTTTGTGCCCTCTTCTCATCCCTTTTCCTTAGCGCTCCTGCTCTCCAGGCCATTCTTGCCTCAGTAGGTGTCACGTGCACTGAGCTCCATCCTGTCCTGGTCTGGGAGCGGCCTGGAGCAGTTAGCCCGGCCCAGTGACGGTGGCAGGAACCTGCCTGGGGCCCAAGGCACTGGTACCTGAGTGGGCTGCAACCCCTGCTGTGGAGAGTCGGGTCCCATGAGAATGGGGACCTAGGGTGAGCCAGGGTTAGTTTGACCTCACTTCTGAGTCCTAGATACCCATTTCCCCTTCTTTTAGGGAGCTAGCTTTCTTTTATTTTGCTGTAGAGATTCCTTTTTCTAAAACGATTCCTGGACAATATGTCTGTTATCCTGCAGACTGCTTTTGGCTTCTGGATGCGCTCCTTCAGTACACATCGTACGGGGTCACCCCGCCCAGCCTCAGCCACTCGGGGAACCGGCAGCGCCCTCCCAGCGGAATGGGCTCAGCTGCCCCTGAGAGGATGGAAGGTGAGTGGCCTCCCGGTAGCCTCATCGCTGCTTCAGGAAGTGGGTTAGTGGGTATCACTGATAGCGTTTCTTAGTGGCTACTGGGGCCGGGGTGGGTGGACACGGCCCATGCAGCCAGCCTCCCCATGCTGCCCTCACAGGTGAGACACCTGCCCTAGGGTCTTCAGGAGCAACCGCCAACATGCTTGGGCATTCACTGGGTACAGGCACCGAGCTGGGTTATTAGCTCCCTAACCCCTCCAGGAATGCTGTGGAAGCACATACTGTTGTTGCAGCTTACCGATGAAGAATAGGGCTGAAGGGAACTGAGGAGCTGCCCAGGTTACGGCATGGGCAGCGGAGCTGGAAGCTGGACCTCCAGGCAGTCCTGTGCTAGTGCTCTGGAGGCTCCACCCATTCTTCCCATGGCAGGCCAGGTCCCATACCCATCCTGCCTGCACATTCCAGTCCTCCAAGCACTGTCCCTGGAAATGAATGTGATATCATTTAAAACTTTCCACCACAGGCCAGGGCTTTAGCTCAGTGGCATTGCACCTGCCTCACAAGCATAAGGTCCTGAGTTCAATCCCTCGTACCCCCCCCCAAAATAAATAAATAAAACCGTACAACTTTCCACCAAACCTTAAAAAAAATGAAAAGGAAGGTGAAATTTATTTTAACAGTGGACTTTAGCATAGTGCCTTGGAAATACCATCTAGCCGTGTGACACTAGTTTGTGTCGGTTACTCAATAGCCACATGTAGCTAGTGGTCACGGTTTAGGATGGAGCAGATCTGAGAGAATAAAGTATTTCAGAAGAGGAAGATTTTTTCAGGACCGCATCTCTAGATTCCTTGAAAGTGGTCTTATGTGTGATGATGGTCAGCAGAGGGTGGCCAGCCAGGGCCCTGCACTCAGATGAACAGGCTGAAGGGAACTGAGCTGGGTTTCCACACCCCTGATTCAGTGGGGAGGACACATGATCCCTGGGCAGCTGTCAAGTGTGGTCCCGACGCCTGTGGGGATGGCTGGCCGGGCACAGAGGGCTCTCAGCAGGAAGCACAGACAGGCACATGAGCCGTGTTTCCTCCCTGTTCATCACAGTGACGGTTTCCTTTCTTGTTGACATTGCTGCTAACCACAGGAAACCATCTTCATCGATACTCCAAGGTTCTTGAGGCCCATTTGGGAGACCCAAAGCCTCGGCCTCTGCCAGCCTGTCCACACCTGTCATGGGCCAAACCACAGCCTTTGAATGAGACAGCGCCCAGGTCAGTGTCTAACTACACTTCCTCTCCCTTCTACGGGGCTTATGACTCGTTCTTTTTTAATAGGAGAGGATGGAATTTTACTGGCAATATTATTGAATCATCAAATCTGGGTTGTCATTTCCTGGTGGTTATTTAAATTAGTGAACCCCCGTCGTGACCTTTAGAAATATGTTCTTTGGTGGCATCCTACATAAAGGAGTGAGTGCTTGGAGCGTCAGCACTGTGTTAAGTTAGTCATCCCATAGTCGAAAGCCATGGTCCAGCTGCGCTGCCCCTGAGCGGCAGTGGCTCTGTACTGGGGAGCTGAGGGCCGCTGTGTGCACTTAGGCCCCATCCAGCGTGTCAGCACAGATAGATCCCTGTGCCACCCCAGGCTCTGGGTAGGTATGGATCCTGCCGCAGCAGCCCAGCCAGGAAAGCCGTACCGTTCGCTTCCTGTCTGGCTGTGTGGCTGGGGAACGCCCCAGTCTCAGGGAGGCCCTGACTTCATCTGCCAGTTATTGCATATCTGCGTGTGGTGCCAGAACAGGTCACTTGCTTCTCTGTCTCGTGTCAAGTCATCCTCTTGATTTACATCATTTTCCTGGAATTGTTGCTGCTGTCTTCAGCTAGGCCAAGCTAGTTGGGTGTGATTTCACCTCCTCCTTTCTCTCGAGCCAAGGGAATGTGAGGTGAATGGAGGATTGTCCTGGCTCGGTGAAGAGGGAGCCGAGTATCCCAGTCCCTACTTGCTCATCTCTCCTGGCCTTTGCTGCCTGGCACCCCCCACACACCCCTGGCCCTGGTGGCCTCTGGAGAGGTTGCCTGCCTACCTTCTTTCCCCGCCCTTGAGGCTGCCAGTGTGCTTGGGTTGGCAGGAGACAGGCCTGGCACGGGCTTGGACAGACAGCAACCCTCCACGCTGTGAGGAGGAGGAGGATGCCTGAGGGAGGCATTGACCTGTTCTTGGCTTTACTGTTCCCACAGGCAGAAAGGCGAACTCACCACGTGGTGACCACATGCCTCCTTTAGGGTAGCCTTAGTATCACATCACAGTATCTTCTCAGAAGCAGTTTTCTTTGTAAACCTTCTAATTACTGACTACTTTTCCATTCTAGTTAGCATCCCATCATTTAAAACTTTGGGTATGTTTCCATTTTTGCATCCTATTTATTTATAACCTACTACTGTCCTAGCATGCAGATCAGACTTTAAATTCCAGGCATAGTCAGCAATTCATACCCAGAGAACAGTCAGTGTTTGCTGAAGTTCCAGAGAACAAATTATGCTCCTCAGTGTTGCCCAAGACTCTGAGGAACAGATAACAACATCCTTTGTGATCCGTCTGCCCACATCAAATAACCCCTCAAAAGTGGAGCCCATCAGGGTGTAGATAATGCGCTGCTCCTGAAATTTGATTTCGACTGTCATTTTCAGTAATTCCTTCTCCTTGATACACTGCCACGCTTCACATTTATCTCCCATTTCACATCTTGTTGAAAATTATTCTCAGTCCTCAAAGACCTAGATAGAGGCATATTCTGAATCTAAAAGACATTTGGAGTACAGCTTTAGACAGCTACAGGCAGCTGTGGGCCATGCCGAGGGCGAAATTCCATCTTCTGAAATTAGGGCTTTTCTGATTTTTCACTGGATGTCACTGTGTGCGGGAGTGTCACTCCTGGAAGCACCTTCTACTGTCTTTCCTTCGTGTGTGTGAAATTCTTGGGTGGCAGCACGGGGTGCTGTGAGCACCACTGCTCCATCGGGCACCATCACCCAGTGATTGAAGGGCCATGCAGCCCACACACTGCTGAAAGGACTGGTGTCTTTACCTGCCCTGAACAAGGCAAAGGGCACAGGCCAACAGGGTCCTAGGGAATAAACAGCACAGACAGGGCCGCCCTCTTTGCAAGTGTTGCCCCTTGGGTTTCCATTTGTACCCTTTGCTGTAACCGAGTCATCTTCCCAAGCTGTCTGCTGCCATTGCTGTTGCCAGCGGGGCAGCTGCTGGGCTCTGCAGTTCTCGTCATGTGGGCCCACGGAGCACCCAGGTTGCACATGATGCTCACCAGCCTGCAGTGGGGTGGGCACGGACTCCTGCACATTCACGCACGCTCTCTGCACTGACCCGCTTAAGGACGCGATGATATCTGGTCTCAGCACCCACCTGCTCCTGTGAGTGGCTGTGGAGTCCACTCTGCTGGTTTGCTTTGTGCTTGTCAGAAAGCAGCTGTGACTGCTCCGGCATCTCAAGGAGAGGACCTGGTGCTGCCCTGCAGTCCCAGCCCGTGTCGCTTACCTGGCTTCAGCTCCTCTGTGCACCCCAGCCGTCTTCTCAGGTTGCTTGGCGATGTTTCCAGCAGCGAGCTGTTGTTGGCAATATTATAAACCCAGTGGGACAGATCCCTTCTGGGAGCAGGGACTTGACTCTGGCATTTCTGCCTCAGCACCTGGAAGAGGCCCCTTGCTCTGGATGCTCCACAGTGCCAGTGAGGACCACAGATGGAGACGCCCCAGGCACCTTTTAGATCACTTGCTATTTCTTAGGCATCTCTAAGCCTCCTAGGGCTGGTACAGTTGCTTATCTTTATTTTGTTTTAACTCCATTTCTCCGAAGTAATCTTTGGAAACATCAGAAGTTGCTCTCCATCGACTTGGACAAAGTGGCGTTACCCAACTTCCGATCAAATCGCCCTCAAGTGAGACCCTTGTCCCCTGGAGAAAGTGGTGCCTGGGACATTCCTGGAGGTGAGGCTTGGAGCTTTGATACGGTGCTAAATGGTTCTGTGTTTGTCCCTCAGGAGTGGACCAGCCCCTTTCTGTCAGAACCGGGGTGGTTCTGGCTTTCTGTGTGATACAGATCAGTAAGGCCAAGAGCAGGTCAAAATGAAGACTTTGTTTCATTAGGAGAATTCTACATAGACGTTCAAATTTCACTTTCCTTTATACTAGCCAGGTGTTTAAACTTTTTCTGGAGTAACTTGCACATTTCTGAAAATTTTGCAGTCATATATTGTGAACCTCAGGGGTGCTGTCCTCTGATGGCTTTGTGGTAGCCTTGCTGGTTCCTGGGGTCTCCGATTGTCTGCCCTAGCCATCTGGGATTGCTCTTGACAAAGCTGGCGTGTGGCCCTGGGGTTGACATAGCCCATCCCCTCCCCACAGACTGCCTTTGGCCTGAATCAGCTGCTTGGGCCAGGTTCTTCCTCTGTAGCTGGGTCGATTGGTACTGGATCACTCTAGCGAGTGAACACCACACCCTCTGCTCTGAACTCCACTGCAGACTCCTCAAGAGCCCACAGTTCCCCGGGGGATTGCTCTGGGTTTGGTCGTGGCCCGGAAGGGTTAGCCCTACATGTGCAGAGGGTCTCGTGTGTGAGGCACGGGGAACACTGACCGTGGGAGCTCGGGAGCCCTGGGAGTGACCCAGTTACAGTCCCTGACATTCTAACCAAGAGTCCTCTGATGGCCATGTGGCTTTTCGGCCACACACCCCATCCATGGAGGGCTGTCTCAGCAGGGGACATGGCCCGTGGTCCTCACTGCCTCTTCCTTCCTGCCACTCTGCTAAGTGGAACTGCGGTGTGCCCCTCTTTCTCCCTGGACTGAGACTTGACCTCCTGCTGGTTTTAGGAAGACAGAGCACCTCTCTGGGCCCTGCTGTTGTAGGCTGTCTGTGTCTGCAGGGATCCCAGGAAGAGCAGCAGACGCCCCACCCGAGCCCACTTATGAGGATGCTGCAGACCCGCCACCCACACAGTTGCTGGCCTGGTCCCTGAGACCGAGGTTTAAAGTGAGGCTCGCCCTCTAAGCCTGAGTAGTGAAAGCAGCTGGCCTTTAGTTTGTGGTGACCTGATTCATAGATGAAAGCTGCACTGGTGGCACTGACCCTGTTGACCATTTCCTCTCGTAGGGATCATGCCTGGCCGCTACAACCAGGAGGTGGGCCAGACCATCCCTGTCTTCGCCTTCCTGGGAGCCATGGTGGTCCTGGCCTTCTTTGTGGTACAAATCAACAAGGCCAAGAGCAGGCCGAAGCGGAGGAAGCCCAGGGTGAAACGCCCGCAGCTCGTGCAGCAGGTTCACCCTCCTAAGACCCCATCTGTGTGACCCCTGCTCCGGCCGCGTGAGCCAGAGCACCGTCCAGGATGGCTGTGGTGGACAAGCAGATCCTTCATGGTTTCCCGGGAGGACCCAGTCTTCAGCTGCGGCTCCAGCCATCGGTTTGCACGAGCCTCCCCCTGTGCTGGGCCCAGGCCCGCAGTACATCTTGAAATACGTCATCGCCGGGGACCCATCTGGGGGACTCCGGCTCAGCCTGGAGCAGCATCCCACGCAGCTGCTCGGTGCACCAAAGTCTCGGAGAACTGAGAAGGCCTCGGCCCTGCAGGGAGGGTGAACTTTTTACATAAATGTAATGACCTTGACCAAGTTAAGATGTGCTTGTTAAAGGCCATTTTCTATATTTATTGTCGGGAAAAGTCACTTTAAAGACTTGTGCTGTTTGAAAGCAAAGCTATTTTTTTGTCCACGGAATGCAGTTTTGTACTGTTCCACCATGCAGTCTCAGATCCGTCATCTCCTTTGTGATGAGAGGCAGACAGAGCTGAAGAAACTTGCACAAATCTGTGAAACAGACCTTGGCTTTATTTTTATAAGTATCAACTGCCGCCATGTTTTATAATTTGGGGTCTTGGTTTCACCATTGTTGGTGAAGAAAATTTTCAATAAATACGCATTACCTGTATGAAGCTGGGAGGTGTTGCTAAATGGCTCTCCTGCCTGTCCCATTTGTCGGAGACAGTGCGAAATGAGTTCGAGCTGGCCTGCCGAGGTGTTTTGTTCTTGTAATTGAGATACAGACCTTTCTGTTTCATTCATTCGTTGGTTCATTCATTCATTCATTTTTGGTACTGGAAATTGAACTCGGGGCCTTCTGTGCCACCGAACTGTGTCCCCAGTCCAATTTCCATCTTACAGGGTACAGTTCAGTGAGTTTTAGTGCATTCACTGGATTATGCAGCCACCAGCACTCGCTGCCGAACTCCACAGTGTTGTCGACTCCCCAGAGCACCCCGTCCCCGTGCTCCCCACCCTCCCAGCTGGCTTCTTTCTCTTCGCATCGTGTCTTCGGGGCTCGTGGCGTGTGTCAGGACTCGTTCCTCCTCGCAGCTGAACACGGTTCCACTGTACGGATGGAGCATGGCCTTTTTCTCCATCACTGGTGGGTCACCTACTCTGGCTCTTGTGAAGTGAGCTACTGTGAGGCTCGGGTGTGTGTTTTCACCCGGGAGTGAAGTCCGATTCCAAGTTAACTTTCGGAGGAGCTGCGCATCTTTGCTCCAAAGGGGCTGCACCCTTTCATACGCCTGCCGGGACTTGGATCCTTCAGCGGAGAGGTCCGGTTTCTCCACATCCTGGCCGACTCTTATTACTTTCTTTCTCATTGAAGACACCCCACCAGGGCCAAAGTGGCGTCTCATTGTGGTGTGATTCGTACTTCCCTAAAAACTAAGTGTATGGAGCATCTTTTTGTGTGTTCCTTGGTCGTTCTTTTGGAGTTGTAACACCCTCAGCCTCGTGCGGTTCCGGGAGCATACTAGGTCTTCGGCCATTTGTTGAGGGGTATCATCGGCCATTTGTGTATCTTCGGAGAAGTGTTACCCTCTTTTAATTGGGTTGTTTACATCTTTATTCTTAAGTTGTAAGACGCTTTATGTATTTCAGATCAAATCCCTTAGCAAGTATTCTCTCATTCTCTGGGTTGTCTTTTCACTTTCTTGATGGTACCTTTTGAACATAGAATCTTTAGATTTTGATGAAGTCCAGTTGTTCTACTTACTTCCTTGGTTGCTTGGGTCACGTCTAAGAGACCATCACCTGACCCAGGGCAGCCTGTCCTATCTCGTCCCAGCCCGACAGGTGTGTTCCACGCGCCTCCTGGCCAGCGCCACCCACACATGCAGGAGAGCAGAGGCCCAGGGGTGTGGCAGGGTGACGGTCACAAGCAGGAAGAAGTTGGGGAGAGGAGAGGAGGGGCTGCTCAGGCCGCCTTGTCCTTGTGGGTCCCCGCAGCGCTGACTGCGTTAGTGGCTGCTGTCTTCTGCAGGACTTTATGTGTTCCTGAGAGCCTAGGAAGTGCCCACTCTTGTCACCTCAGCCCCGAAGGTGTCAGAGTTGGGCACAGGGTCCAGTACTCATTGTTAGCAGGTGAACATGGCTCTGAGTGTGGCGTCTACTGTCCAGACGAGGAGCAGTTAGCTGTGGGGCCCCCTTGTCTCCCTGCCAGTCCTACACGGGCAGTCCAGGCCTTTCCACACCCACTTGCCCATGCTGTATTGTGCACAGCGTATTCCCCTGCACCATCCCTCGGGGCACCGCCCACAAGGACTGACCTCTAGAGGCCGACTGGCAGCAGCTGCACTGGCACCTGCTTCTGGGCGTGACCTGAGGTGCAGAGCAGGGGGCCCTCGGATGCTCTAGGCCTGCAACACTGAGATAACCCAAAGCTGGCCTGGCATGAGCCCTAAAGCACTCCATGCCAGGTGGGCAGAAGAAACTTGCTAACCAGAGGCCCTGTGGATCTGGAGTGGCTGCACACAGAATGAAGAGTCAGGACTTCTTGGAAAACAGCCTGCCCATTCTTATGTATACTCACTAGACGTTTCCAGAAAAGTATCACGATTCTTGATTTTTTTAAGGCCCACCCAGGTAGATCTTCATGGAGGACACTGGTTTCCTTTGCTGGTGATCCAGAGGCATTGCAGTAGGTGTCCTGGAAATAAGGCCTTAGGGCCTGTCTCCCAACCCAAGTCACCTGCTCATTGGGAAGAACCTGAAAATGTGTTTCAGAGCTCCTCTGGGGCAGAGTTACCGTATAGTCCACCGGCTCCACTCCTGAGAGGAAGACAAGTGGACAGTCAAAAACCTCTGGGAGGAACTTCAAGGCTGAAGCCTGCACGGTGGCCAAGAGGCAGAGCTGCACCGGGCTGTCCATGAATGCTGTGGTCCCTGCAGACCAGCCGTCCCCCTGCTGTGGTGCGGGTGATGGAGTCCCAACACATGCCACAGCGTGGTGAGCCTTAGACATGGGGCGGAGAGGCGGGAGAAGACAGTCCAGACACCACATCTTGTATGATCGCACTTCCACAACACGTCCAGAGGATACAGGCAGGTCAGTGGCTGTCAGGGCCAGGGGCAGGAGCTTTCTTTGGGGTGAGGAAGTGCTCTGGAATTAGGTCGTTGTGGAGTTGCACTCCATGGAAAGTGTATTTAAAGTCCCTATAGTGCATACTTGCCGGTGGTTACAGTGGTGGATTTTATGCTCATTCTGCTACTTCTCTTCCTCTCGAGTGCATACATGAACCTCCCCAGTGGACGTGGCCAGGCCGGCTCCGAGTGAGGCTCTCTGGCCCTTCAGACCCCGGCATGAGCCAGGACAGGCAGGAGGGACAGGGACTGCAAGGGCTGTAGGAAGGCTCGCATGCACTGAGTTTCAGGTCCCTCCTACCCCTTCGGTCTGGGACTCCTGAGCCAGCTGCATCAGGAGGAGATGGAGGACCGTGGTGGCGGGGAGCTAGTGGCTTAGGGTCCCCCTGGGTAGGACGAGCTCAGGCCAGGATGTTCCCTGCCAGTTCCTGCTGCAGTGAGTGACCGCAGATCTGCTGCCTTAAAGGAGCATGTCTGTTCTGCATTTCTGGAGCTTGGGAGCCCGTACGTGACCTCACTGGCCGAAGTCTTGGTGCTGGTCCTCCCAGAGGCTCTGCCAGGGAATCTACTTCCCACCCTTCCCAGCCCCAGGGGCTGCTGCAGACTTGGCTCTGGCTTCTTCCTGTCTTCCACCCCCACCCCGGCCCCTGCCGTCTCCTGTCTGACCTCTGACCACTCTTGGGCTCCTTTCCAAGGACACTCTGATGACATCGGGCCCACCTGGGTAACTCAAGGGCCTTGAGATGTGGGAAGCTTGATGTGCATTCACATTCTTACAAGCTCTACAGCTTAGGACAAAGCCATCTCGGGGCCCTCGTCAGCTGACCACACTGGGTTTCTCCGTCCCCACAGTAGCATGCGTTTCCACGGGAGGACTAGGTCCAGGCTGCTTGCTGGTGCTGCAGCCACACTTCAGTCCAGGGACCCTGCACGGGAGGACGTGGAAGCCTTGCTCGGAGGTGTGGCACCAGCGGCTGTCAAGCTGCCCGCGTGGGTCAGGCCAGGACTGAAAGCTGCAGAGCAGGAGTGGCCCTGGCCTCAGGGGCGGGGGACCTGTTGGAGGCCCTGCCTGTTCAGAACGCAGCTTTGACAGAACGTCTGGCTGTCAGGCTTCCTGGGAGCAATGATAGGAGTTCTTTCCTGCCCTGCTGGCCGCCAATTACTCTGGGACTCCAGGGAGGCGCCAGCATGGCCGCCGAGAAGGATCCTCAGGGTCCGAGGACGTTCTGGAAGGTCCCAATGGGGCAGAGGCTAACTGGGGAAGGTGACATGCTCTCCCCTGCCTCAACACCAAAGCTGAGTCATTCAGGCCTCCCCCGGCTCCGCCCAGCAACCCCAGGCAGAAGGCGCCCAAGAAGCCAGCGAGTGACGAGGCTTCCCTTCACCTCACCAGGAGTCCTGCCTGCCATCTAACCCAGAACTTCCCAATGTGTGAGCACAGAGGAGACAGCCGCCCCCGCTGCCCTGGGGGTCCCTGGGCGTCCCCCGATGGACAGGGAATGCAGGAGGGAGGCGGCCGCAGTGTGGGGAGCTGTGTGTGCCACCACCTACATGGTCCCCAGGGCTCCCGTGCACCTCCTCTCCTGCCCTCCACACTAGAGCTGGCGCCAGGCCTGGTGGTCCGGGCAGAGTGCAGGCAGCCATGGCAGCAGATGGGGCCCAGCAGGGTGCCCCTGAACATCTTGGGAAAGGTCACGCAGCCCTGTGATGCTGGCCGCAGAGGGTGGATATCAAAGCCCCTCGGAATTAAGAGGTTTTCCCCATTGCCTGGAATTTCACAGCCTAGTGGACAATTTCTAAGTCATGCACACTAATGGGCAGCTAATGAGGGACCTACGGCAGGGACAGGGAAGTGCCCCAGCCCCTCAGCCAGATTAAGGGGAACAAAGCCCCAGCCGCTGGTGCAGGGCTCTGCATCTTCTCTCGGGAGGCCCGGTTTGGGGCAGAACGAGTGGCTTAGCTGCTTGGGAGCCCTGAGCCTGTGTGAACACCGCGTGCGGGCCCACTGGTGCCCCAGCGCCATCCTCCCTGTCCTGTGTCCCTGCTGAGCGACTGGCCACTGGCGGTACATGGGTGACGGTCCTGTTGTGACCACCGAGGGGAGAGTCACACGTGACCGCCAATGTGCAAGCTGGCAGGAGCGTGCTAGTGACCTCACTTGAGTGACATGGGCTGGGGCAGCAAGAAGGGCCTTTGCCAGCTGGGCCCCACCCTGGACCTCAGACCACCGTGGGCCTCCTGGGAGCCTTCGCGCAGAGCGGCCCATGTGAAGGCAGAGGCAGGGGTGTGACTGATGTGGCCCCAGCCCCCAAGAGCCAGCAGAGGCAGGAGGACCATCCCTCCAGAACCTCCGGAGGGAGCGCAGCCCTGCCCACTCCTGGACCTTAGAATTCTGGCCTCTGAAACCAAGAGAGTAAATGCTTGGTTGGTTTTTCTGTTGTGTTTTTGTTTCTTCCTTATTAGGCAGTGAACCCAGGGCTTTCACAATGACCTACAACCCCAACACCCTTTTATTTAGTTTTGAGACACAGTCTCCTGAGCCACTAAATTGACCATGCTGGACTCTTACTTGTGATCCTCTTGCCTCAGCCTCCCAGGCCTGTACCCCCATGCCCACCACTTTTGTGGCATTTTATTACAGCAGCCATAGGGACCTAACAGAGTGGAGAGACTGAGCAACTTTCCCTTTTTTGGAGTCAGTGCATTCATTCATGCATCAGTTCATCCTTGACAGAGCCAGGTCAGTGAGCTCAGGGCCAGACGGAGCGTGATATCTAAAAGCAAGACCATTTCTAGTGTGAATTCCAATTCCAGCCATGGCCACTGGGGGCGCTGTGAGCTGCCTGCTGCACCAGCCAGCGTTAGGCCCTACTTTGTGCCAGCGATGCCCTTTCACAATTTAAGTGAGCACTTGTGCAAAGTGCGGCTTGTGGGCACATGAATACATCTGAGTCACCCAGCCCCGAGCTCCTGGACCTCAGGGCTGGCTCCCTTTCCACACATCTGAGCCGAGGAGCTGGTCACAGCTGGTCAGGTGCTGTGTGGCGCCTCAGGGAGGTAACCGAGCCAGGGGCCAGAGATGGTCAGCAGCCAGTGTGGAAGCCCTTTGGGCTCTCAGATACAGGCTGATGGGCTGGGGTGGGGCTCTGGCCATCAAAGACACTTGATTTGAAGCAGCAATTCTCAACGAGGGCGCCGGACCCTCAGCATTAGGGTGCCCGGGCACTTGTTAGGAATGCAGATTCCCGGGCCAGCTCCACTGAGGCAGAAATGCTGGAGATGGCGCCTGCTGTCTGTTTGAACAGTGCTCCAGGGAACTCTGATGCCAGCTCAGGGTAGGGATGGGAGTGAGAGGGAGCCCCATTTCCTGGGACAAAGAGGCACAAAGTCAAGATCAACCACATCTTCAAGGCAGAGTCTTTGGGCTGCGCCCACAGGGAAGGAGTCAGCCTGTTTCAGCAAGCCCAGAGGTGAACGTGGACACAGGAGCAGCCTTACTTCTGGAGCTGGGGCCGGAGGGAGTGAGAGGAGACAAACTTCAATGGTGCTCCCTTTTGCAGATGTGGTCACGGGGTCCGTGACACTCAGCTCGGTGCCTTCCACAGCCTCCCCCCAAGCTGGGGCCTAAGGCAGGGGCAGCAACCCCGGTCCTGATCACTCCCAGCTAAGCTCTCTCCAGCCCTCCAGGGCTGCTGAGAAAGCCCCGCCCCGGGGTGGGCCTGTGGGGAGTCCCATGTTTTCAGACACCCTGAGCAGGTCGGCAGGCTCAGAAGCCGCAAGCTTTGGGTCCGGTGGTCCTGGCTGCTCACTCCTGCCCCGTGCGCATCCTCCAGGGATCCTGAGTGAATGATCCAGCTGTCACTGGCAGAGTTAGGTTGTTCCTTGCTCCACCCCCGCCACCCTGACCCAAGCCTGCCCCGGGAGGCCAGGCTGTCCTGCCCCTCACAGTGTGGATTTGGTGGTAAGGGCTGGCGCATGGGCATGGTGTACAAGAGTTAAGAAGCACAGGAGTGCGGATGGGGGTGCCAAGGATCGATGGGACGAGGAAGCTGGAGTTTTGCAAGAAAAGAGAGGAGGAAGGGGTCTGTGTTGCCTACGGGTCAAGGGGGTCGAGAGGGAGAATAAACGGGGCAGAAAGCACCGTGACGACCAGAAGTCGTGGGGGCAAATGCTTTGAGCTTTGACTTTGGAAAGTGGGACCAGGGTAGAGGAAGAGGGCGGGGACTGGGAGAGGTTGAGCCAGGGGCTTTGGTTCCTGTAGACTTGGGGAGAGGAACCTGCCGGAGACCCGGGCATGAGACTGAGCTTGGAAGACATGGAGGAGGGGAGGGTGGTGACTGCCGTTCTCTCCAGTCCTTCACGCCCCAGCCATGGAGGCACCGCCTGGAGGAAGCAGAGGTCTTCCGGAAAAGCCCCTCTCTGCCACCGCCACCCCCACTTTGTCCTCGTTGGGTGCTGTCTTTATTCTGCTGAAATCAACACTGGGGGCTGGCCTGCTCAACTTCCCCTGGGCCTTCCACAAGGCTGGGGGCGTGGTGCCTGCTTTCCTGGTGGAGCTGGTAAGTCCCCGGGAAGGATTCGGGGGTCTCCTGGGGAGTCAACGTTGGCTCTTCTGGGTGGGATCCTTGACATAGCTAATGCAGAGCCGCTGGTCCCACTCCACTAATGGGTGACCCATGGCAGCCTTAGGTAGAAGACGTCATCTTCAGTGGCTGGTGAGTCAGATCCCCAGCTAAATGGCTAGGAGGTAAAGGCCGGCTGGGCCCAATCTGTGAATCTTTGCAGCCAGAAAGGAGCCACCTGGTCTCAGCTCCTACCTCAGCTGCAGGGCTGTGTGCAGGTGGGGCCCAACACAGGTGTGGCACTGACTGCCCACTCAGGCCAGGCTGGTGGAGCACAGAAGGGTCCACCCCTTCCCAGCAGTTAGACTGAGCCTCCAGTGCTCACCCTCAACTGGTCTTCCCATGCTGCTCTTCCTGGCTCGTGGAACTGTTGATCTTGGACAGGTGTCGGCTCTAACACACTTGAGGGGAGCCAGCTGACCTCAGGCCGGCATGTCCTGGGGTCACATGAGCAAGCCAGTGTGGTTCCTGTCCTCGCGGAGCTTTGTTCTAGTGGGAAATCAGATGGGTCAGGTGAGTCAGTCTTGGACAGTGGAGGTGTGGGAGAGTCACATGTGGACCCAGAGAGGAGGCAAGGTAAAATGAGCCCAGCAGCTGTGACAGACACTTCTCTCGGTGCGTGTGAGGCCCAGCGTTCCTGCCTGCATTTCTACCAGGGCTCTATGAGGCTACCATATTAAGAACGAGGACAGAGATGGTCCCAAGTCATTGCAGAGTCACCATAACGAAGCAGTGTGCTGGGGGTAGGGTCCCGGCAATGCCACAGTAGTAGAAATAGCTGTGAGGCCAGGAGACGTGTGTATCTGTCCCTACGCCTTGCGCCCAGGGATCTCCTGGCACCTCTGTGCTGTGACGTGCCACCCCTGCAGGCTGGCTAACTTGTGACTGCTCTGCTGGGGGACATGGCCATTCCTCCGGACTTGAGAGGGGACCCTAGACTTGGCAAGGGGGACTCCCTTGCCGGAAGGGAGCCAGGCTCGTGAAGGGAAGCCTCCTCCCTGCCCCTCCCAGGCTTCCTTTCTCTAGGAGCTGCCTTGGGGCTGGAGTGGACCAGCAGGTGACATCAGCATGAAGATCCAGGACCTTGGAGGAGCTGCCTGTCACTCCTGAAGCCAGGGAGATTTCTGCCCTGACCCCGACCCCTTCTCCTTCCCCGAGCTGGCCCAGTCCTGGGAGCATTTGCCTGTTGCGCCCCACTGGGAGGTCAGTGGACGAAGAGTAATGTCCTTGTTGGGGCTGGAGGTTTGAACGTTGAATGGAGCCCAGACCTGCTGTTGGGTACTGCAGAGACCGGGCCTGTGTAGGTAGCCAAGGCCCTTAACTGTCTTGCTGTCACCTCAGTCACTTGGCCCTGTGGGTGTTCCCAGGCTGTCACCTCTGTCATTCGGCCCTGTGGGTGTTCCTCTCGCCCTCTTCCCTTCCTCCAGCCACAGGTATTAGCTGAAAGCCTGCTATGAGACTAAATGTCAGGAAAAGAAAAAAAAAAAGACACAACTGTCCTTCAGGAAGCCTGGAGTCTAGAGGGAAAGTGATGCCGAAGGGCCCCAGGGCAGGAGGAATGGCTGTGCACCATCCCTGACTGTACAGCTCTGACGTCTGTGCCCGTAACTGCTGTAACAAGTTCCTGAAAAATGTGGTGCTTAAAACCACAGGGGCTTCCGGCTCACGGTTCCGGTCCCAGCCCCTCTCACGGCTCTCCCGTGGCTGGAGGCCATATCCCCTCCTGTTCTCACGGGCCGTGCACCTCTGGAAGGACCCTTGTCACTGGACCTGGGGCCACCTCACCTGAAGCTCCTTAACGCCGTGGCCGAGGACTCGTGCTTGTTTAATTGCATTTCCATTACCTATATTGACAAAGACTGTTTGCGGGTCACAAGCACAGGTGCTGGGAGTTGGGATGGGACGCATTCATCCAAACAAAGCATCGATGGGCACGAATCTCCCCCACACCGTGCTGAGTGGAGGAAGCCAGATACGAAAGGCCCCGAAGGCAGAAACATACCAAGTCGGTGCTTTCTCCTGGGGGTCGGATGGAGGCAGAAACCGACAGTGAGAGGTGGGCTCGTGCTCTGTGTGCCGCAAGGGCTTGGATCACACGTGCGTGTTACACCACCCTGGGAAGCACGGAGGATTCTCCATTGCCTTCTGTGGAGCTGAAGCCACGAGGATGAAGGAGCGTTTGGGGGAATTACGCTGACACCCACCACTCCACATGCACCCCCAGACCAGCCAGGCGTGGTGACCCACACCCGCTTTCTCAGCCACACAGGCAGCTGAGGCAGGAGGGTTGGCAAATTGGAGGCCCTGGGCAACTTAGGGAAACCTCGCCTCACAGTTTTTAAGAAAGGGCCTGGGCTCCCCCAATACCACCAAAATTAAAGATTCGGATGGATTGGTGCCGCACAGACGGAGACACAATAAAACGGGCTCAGAGCCTGTTTGCGTGTGGGTTTTGAAGGTTCGTTGCAAAATTCTAATCCTCTTGTGTGTGTGGAAGGTGTTCATGGTGAACACTGGAGAAAAACACTGTATTTAAGCTGCTGCGGAGGGGCCCCAGGAGATGAGGATGCCCATCACTGTGGGGTGCTCGGCCCAGGTAGGGCACCCTCAGGAGGCAGGCAGGGCTGCCCACTTCACAGATGGGAAAGCCGAGGCTGACGGTCTTCACCGCCCAGCAGAGAGCAGCCCAGTTAGATTCGGACCCCAGGCTTGCCTGCCCCGCCTCCAGTCCGTCCCCTACAGCCTGGGTGATTTTGAGAGTGGCTTCCGCAGTCTTCTGTGTCAGGGCGCATGCAGGCGGTGTGTATCTGAGGTGTGCCCAGCCCGCCATCCTGCTCCGCAGGTCTCCTTGGTGTTCCTGATCAGCGGGCTAATCACCCTGGGTTACGCAGCCTCCATCAGCGGCCAGGACACCTACCAGGGCGTGGTCCGAAGGTTGTGTGGCGCCCCCATGGGGAAGCTGTGTGAGGCCTGCTTCATCGTCAACCTGCTTATGATCTCCGTGGCCTTCCTCAGGGTGATCGGGGACCAGCTGGAGAAGTGTGAGTACCTTCACTGGACTCCGAGTGGTCCAGGCCACAGAGCCTATGAGGTCCCCTGGGCAGAGCACCGGGTGGAGCCCCAGGGGGCTGCAGAGGGGCAGGAGACACAACAGTCAGCAGCAGGGTCGTAGAGAGTGTACGGGGAGCATCCGCCTCATGGGTGGGGAAATGGGGCCACAGCAAGGAGCCTTGTTGAGACACTCAGGAGCACCTCTGTGCTTGGGATGGCTGGGGTCAGCCACACAACCTTGCCCTCTGGTCCCCTAAGGCTTTCCTTTGGGCACCGCTTCACTGCCTCTTTTTTTTTTTTTTTTTTTTTTTTTTTTTTTTTTTTTT